GGGGCAGCGCGGACAAGGGCCGGGGTGCAGCGACGACAGGGGCCGGGGTGCAGCGACGACAAGGACCGGGGTGCAGCGACGACAGGGGCCGGGGTGCATCAGCTCCGCAGTTAACGCCCTCCAGAACTAACAGACGCGGAACAAGGAAGTCGTGCACCTGTCCCTGCTCAAGCATAACTATCTTTTCAAGCCTACTGCGACCTCGATAACTACTGGTAAGTAACAGCTTTCTGTTGCCGTCACTTCCTAGTGATGTCCCAGGGTATATTTCTCTCTATATCGACATGTATACTGTATATGTCGATGCGGGTTAAGTCATGCTCCTGCCTCATGGAGGGACAGATTGACAAGTTAAAGGCTTCCGTCACGGTGCACTGGCAGAGGCGTCATCTGCTTAACTCAGCAGTGTTCACCTTTCTAAGCAGGTGTGAAGCTCCGCCATGGCAGAGTTTGAGGGGGGAGCAAACCAAAGTAAGGAGAAGCAGCATCAGCTCAGCTCTTCTGTCGGTGCGGGGGACGCTCAGCCCGCTGCAGGGCCACAAGTAACCGATGAGCGGGCAGCTTCGGGTGGAGGTGCCCGCCTCCAGCACGGCGTCTCTGTGGACTCCACTCCGGACCACTTCAAACGCACACGGTTCTTCGTGTTGAGGGTGAGTCTGTGGTGTTATGATTTGTTGGTGAAACAAAAGAGTTGAGATGTTTTAGAGCACATGGCCTACATCACATTACAGATGTAGTTTATTTAAAAGGAATAACAATGAATACATGTAATGCTCTTCATAATATGACAGAACAAGAGAAACAGTGGAATGTATCCTTTAACTAGGTAAATACTGTAGGTGCTATCCTACTGATACAGGTTTCAGCAAACCTTAAGCTTTAATAGGTCATTTTATGTTTTGGTATCTTTGTACTTGGACACATTTCAGATGTAGTGAGGTTTAGTTAGCAACTGTAGTTACTGGTATACTTTTTATTTGTATTGTATTTGTAATATTTGTATTTCTTATTTGTATTGGTAAGGGATTTTAAGACCTACAGCTTAGAATGTGCCAGAGTTAGCTTAAAGTAGTTTTTTCAGCATTTGCTTGTCATTGTAACAGCATAACTCAAAGAATAATGAAACCATTTCTGATACATTTCTGGGAGAGGTAGGATATGGCACAGGGAACAAGTGATTAGACTTTGGTGCTGATCCATACCAAAAGTTAGATGCAGAAATATTTGAAAAGATTAGTCACCCCTGTAAGCGCTGAAAAGGCTGTTGACTGTTTGTGAGCCCCATTAACCATCACCTGGATAACCTCACGGGTTGGTCACTCTTTTCCCTGTGTCGGTCTGTGTTTAGAGGAGGAAGGGACTGCGCTCCTCTCACAGCTGAGCAGAGGTTGAGAAGGGTCACTCCACAGTGCAACAGTCAGCCACTAACAGAAACTGTATGAGCAGAACACAAACTTGCTGAAATGTGACGTCTTCACCGCTTTGTCCGCTCAGAAGTCCTTGTTTGACCCCTAAACCAACAAGTTGATGTGTCATATCTGTCATTTTTCTTGAATAACTTTCACACTAATAATGATATCAGCATCATTCCAAATGCCAGGATTTAATGGTCAAACTATCATGGGAATATTGCTTTTAATGGCATTATGGGGAGCCAGAGTTGCCCTCTGGCAGAGCTTTGCACTCTCTGAGTGTTGTCCAGTTAGCATCGGCAGGCTGCAATTACAGCAAACAAAAAACAGCACTAAAAGGCAAGGCAACTTTATTTATACAGTACCTGTCATACACAGAGGTAATTCAAAGGGTTTTATATAGGCAAGGAAAAACAGCAATAGCATTAAAATGAGTTAAGATAAAACATTGTTAACAATGAGAAAATACATAAAATGAAAAAATAAAAACAAATGTACAAATTAAAGGTCTGAATCATGATTATCTGGTAGTTACAGTGCAGAGAGTGCAAAATAGAAACCAGCCAAACAAAGTCACAGGAAAACACCAGAGTTTTCAGTTCAGACTTGAAAGTAGCTCGAGTTGGGGCAGATTTAAGGTCCTCAGGAAGTTGGTTTCATCTGTGTGCAGCAGTACTGCTCTTCGCAGTAGCTAAAAGCAGCTTCAGCCTGTTTGGTTCCACCAACTGACTGCTTCTTGAGGATCTCTGAGTCCTGCTGGCTTTGTATTGTTCAATGAGATCAAAAATGGAATTTGGCCCCATACCAGTGGGCGATTAATAAACTGGTAGAAGCACAGATTGAATCTGTAGGTAAGTGGTAGCCAGTGCAAGGATTTAAGAACAGGAGCGATGTGTTCTGGTTAAAACTCTGGCATCAGCGTTCTGACCAGGCCAGACAAAAGACTGTTGAAGTCCAGCCTGCTGGAGATGAAGGTGCGAATGAGTTTCTCCAAATCATGCCTGGACATGAGACCACCGAGTCTGGCTGTTTGTTTTAGATGATAAAAAGCTGATTTAGTTATGGTCTCTATGAGCTTCTTTGTACATTGAAATGTTTCATTTAAAACATTTGGGTTGTTTATGAAACATTAGATATCATTATATTGGTAACAACCTCATAACTCAGGCTGAACTTTATGTGATAAGGTTTAGGGTTTCTTATTGTTATGTTGTATATCCATATACCTCACACCAAGTTTTGCAATCAACTAAATGCCACAAAACACAGCCTCAAAATTTTGCATAGCAATGAATAAACATACATGACACAGTGTGAGCAATGAAAGGAGTATTATCAGTGTCCCAGTGTTGACAGGCCACCAGGCTCAGATTACAGTAAGACAATCAGAAGCCCTCAGTCTGAACTAGCTCTGGAAAACGGGGGTGCTCGTAGCTGGCACTTTGAATGCGCAGTCTATTATGTACTGAAGCTTTCTCTGTTCTGTCTTTAAATACAGTACCTGAGTTGCTCAGGTTTATATGTGGAAGCTGCATGCAGTCTTTTTCACATGTCCAATTTTCATGTTGTTGTTTGACATACTGACACTTTGAGTGCCAGTCACAGCTGCACCTTGAGGTTTTTAACCCTTTCAACGTTCTGTGTACACATTGTGATTGTCTCAAAAGAAAATTAGAAAATGACACCTGTGCATTTCTATCTCCTCAGCCTGGCACTCTGAATCAGGCCATCAAAGATGTTGAAGCTCTGGTGGATCAAGAACTAGACGGCAGCATTCTCGGCCTTTGGCTGATGGCAGAGTGAGTTCATGAGTTCCCATTCTGTTGCACAGCTCTGTGTTCGCATGGATATCCACATTGTGTGGAAGCCTGAAATGATCTTTGATCAATTACAGTCATAGAACTTGCACCTCGTAGGGCACAGTGGTTAAAATAAAATGTTATTCCTGATTAGGTGGTGCTGTTTTTCCTGAACTTAAATTCCAGGGTTTTCACCAGCCAGTAATGATGTGACTGTAAATGCAGAGTGCTGCCCATTTATAACCATTATTAACATACAGTGTGTTCTGGATGGCTACTATGAACTGATTCCCCTGGGAAGACGCTGTTTGTCTGATTGCACATAAATGTACTGCAGTACAGGTTCATGATGCCTTAGCGTTATCACATAGAGACATGCTCAGTGGCTAACCATACATCCAGATATCAATGTTTTTATCGAACTTCAAGAGTAGCACACAACCCAGAGCAGAGGTCTATCTGACTTGAAAACAGAGCAGAATGAAGTGACTGCAGGACATTTACCAAGTGCGCTTACAGATGTCAGGTTGTATCACTGCTGTACAGGCTTTCAAGAAACAGTTATAAAAGGCTGGCCATGTGAGAATGAATAATACATCCCATTTATGCAGCTCTGTTCAGCGCACATTAATGTTCGTCCTACATTTGGCTCACAGTTATTGTCGCTACACAAGCCACTGTAGGATTTCTTGCAACATAAAGAGTGTAAGTGTAATTCTGTGTCGTGCTGCTGAATCTTCCCAAGGGAGGCCAGTGACTGTCAGAAAAGCATGAGAAATTCCTCAAAGCTGGTTTTACTGAGGATTGTTGCTAACTTTAGAAAGAGTAAGATGATCTCATTTCATCTGCTTTTTTACTTTGACTGTTAATGTTTTGTATTTATTTGTTCTTTTATATTTTATTTCCCATTTGTTTGTATGTTTTCTGAATTTCACTTACTAACAAAGCACTTTAAGAAACTAAATTTGAAACCACATCTATCAGCTGGTTAGCTTAGCATAAAGGCTGTAAACAGCTAGCCTGGTCCTGTCTGAAGGCAAAAAAAAAGTTAGATGGGAAGATTGTGTGTTACATATGAAAACAGCTGGGAGATGGTGAGCATAGTCCAAACACAACATGTTCACTTTTGTACAGACTAAACAAGTGAGATATAACGTGTTTAGGAATTATTGTACTTTTGGCCAGAGCCAGACATGTTCCTTCCCTTGCTTCCAGGGTTTATGCTAAGCTAATCAGCTGTAGCTTTATATTTAGCGTACACACATGTGAGTGGTGTCGGTCTTCTCATTTCTCAACTCAAAGTGAATAAGAGTCTTTGCTGAAATGTCAAACTGTTTTTAAGCACCAGTGTGACAAGAATCAGCATTGCGTCCTGTAAAGATGACTAGAACTGGATCTCTGTAACACTCCCTTACTGTCCATTACGCCCATGCCCAATTAAGGTTTACTCATCTCATTAGCACAGTCAAAGCTCCTCGCCAACACCACTTCCATGATGCCTTGGCTGTTTCATGAACTGTCTGGTTTTGGCCTATGGCTGCCAGTAGCCATCAGAAGACTTTCACTTGCAGTTGGCCACGTGAACCCAGCTCAGCGGGCTGTAAGAAAGACAGCTATTCCAAGAGAATCTGTGCTACCATCAGTTAGATTAGTTGTGTGATTGTGTGCGCACAGCAGAGAGGGAGAGTGTGTGTGTGTGTGTGTGTGTGTGTGTGTGTGTGTGTGTGTGTGTGTGTGTGTGTGTGAGTGAAATGATGCTTTGTGTGAGTTAAGTTAATAGGACAGACATTTTTGGACTTAGAAATGTTTCCATGCATATTGTATGATCTTTGCCAAGGGCCTTCTAGGAAATTGTGAAGCTTTTACAGTACATAATTGAGCAGCCTTGCTATACATGTTTTTATACCAACTTTAAATAACCTCCTGCAGAGTCCTGACATCCAAACTGCACTTCACACAGACTCTAATACACATAATGAAAGTCACTCTCTTCAGCAGTGGTTGCCCTGTAGTGGGTCCTGACACCCAGGTTGGAAAACACTGATGACTGTAAGATACAATTTTCTGTTCTACAAATAATGTTTGTCTGTCAGACTTTGAAACATTTTTTGTTATTCTTGTGAATAACTGGTTGATTTTTACCTTTTAAAATAAAATTTTGGTTGAACTGCAAACAGCAAACATGCAGAACCAGTGACAAGGGATTGCAAGTAGGCATTACTTTCTTTTAAGTGTCAGCTTTCAGTTTGCAGCTTTTAGGTACATCATGTCAATTACAACATCCTAGTAATAAATCCTACTTTCATGAGTTAAGTTTTTGGTTTAAACCATTTTAGAGAGGTATTAATTCAACACTGTGATTATTTTGGAGGCTGTAGTTTGTGAAGCTTTTAAACTGGGTCGCTGTGCCTCAGGAGGTAGAATGGTCATCCTCTAACCATAAGGTCAACGGTTCAATTCCCATTCTCCCTAGTCCACAAGTGGCCAGAGTAGCACCCTGCAGGGACGGCACTGCCGTGTTTGTGTGTGTGAGAGTGAGTTGGTGATAGCTGCCTCAATGACAAATTTATTGTGTATGTAACATACTGGGCCAATAAAAGTGATTATCATTGACTGTACTGCATTACACAGAGAGGTGATTCTGTTATGTACCCTGGCCAAAACACTGTTGTATTAGACTGCATTACCTTTAGCTGTGTGTACCTATTAAACTGGTAACTATGTGTAAACCAGTGCTTAGACCAGTTATACACCAACATAAAGGGGTCAGAAGGATTAGACATGTCACATGTGGAACAGGATGTAAAGACACATGTAGATATGTCCTCTTTGTGTGACAACTAATATTGTTAAAGTAAATTTGATTGATGCCAACAAAATAATTTTCACTATTGCTATGTATTTTATTTTTCAGGGTGGATCACTGGAACAATGAAAAGGAGCGTCTTGTTATCATCACAGACAACTCTCTCCTGGTCTTCAAGTATGACTTTGTCATGTTCAGCTGTGATCAAATGCAGAGGATCCCGCTTAACTTTGTGGACCGCATCTCCCATGGCACCTTCAGCTTCCCAAAGTACTCCCTTCTCCAGTAAGTGTCCTAATTTTAGCTCTTTCTTAGTCTGCAACAGCAAACCTCTGCCATCTGTCCATTAAGACTGCAGCTTTTTTTTTTACAGTTAATATTTTGTAATTCATGGTGTGAGATGATCATCAAGAAACTTATAGCACCTAATAGAGACATTCATAGATGTTTGGACAGTGTATAAAAAAAGCATTGCAAGAAAGTCTTGTATCTCTACTGTCCCGATTCATTTTTAGTAATTTTCAGTATGTTTCCTTAAAATGGCTCTCTGTAGAGTTTCGTTGCTAATTAAAACATAAAAACCCTGCTTAATGAATTACACATATTAGACCTAATTATCTGCCCTGTATTTTGCCTCACAAAGCTAAATGTCGTGAAAAAAAAACTTTATTTCATGGTTAACGATTAAGCTCGGCCACAAAACATGCCTAGCTTGTTTTTCCCCTTTTTGCTGGTTTGTGAGGGTTTCATAATAACCTATTCTTTATGTAACTAATTTATCCAGATGTTTCAGGTAATAAAAAATACAACATGCAGTTCTTTAATGAATTTCAAAGACTGCAAAAGTATGCATGATTTACTAAAAAGCATTCATGGGGATTTGTGTTGTCAGAGAAAACGATGATGCTAAGCTGAGAGCAGCTATCAGAAAGCTATGTGGTGAGCGATGTACTTGCAGGAGATTGGTACAGGGCAGATGAGCTCAACCAGGGAAACATAGTACACAGCCGAGCTTTCTGGGGGTATGGAATGCATAGCTCTCACTTGGAGCTGTCATGTAACTGATTAGTGGCAAAATTAATGTAGTCCTTTCATTTAAACCTTTAAAAGATGGCTCAGGGAATACCAAACCAACTAAAACTAATTTGATGAATAAAATGTAATGCACTATGAAGAGTTTAGAGAGAGCAGCTTTTATTGGAGGCTCTGTCTTTCCACATTACATTAAATTATACATAAAACGCTCATGAAAGCCACTCAGGAGTCCAACGGTCAAAAGAAGGTTTTAAATAAGAAAGACTTGAGCCTCAAACGTTTTCTCTTTCTGTGTTGATCTTCACCGCTCCCTCCCTGTCTCTCCCCCTATCGTCTTCTCCCCCAGGAAGCGTCTTCTTTTTTGTCTAGGTCATTGTCTTATTTTTGGCAGAAAATGATCAGTGAGTGTAACTGTATATGAAAATGAATTCTTCCTACTATTATAACAACACACAAAACACACAAAACCTTGTTTCCAGGAAGCCTAACAGTGTGTCAGGGCTAAAATGAAAAAATAGACTGACATTTAGAGAAATGCATTTCTTCACTTTTGGGCTGTGAGTTGCATGCAAGTCTTGACGCCACTCACGTCTGTGTGATAATTATGGAGCTCAAGCTAGGCTGAGCTTAGGTTAGCTAGGCATCAAGATGAGAAGTCACAGCTGCTGGTTGTCAAGAAGCATTTCTCAGCAGGTACTTCACTGTAAAATCACAACCTGTTGTTTTAACACTGAGATGAACCTGATAGGTGTTAATTAGTGAGCTTTAGAGGTACTAGTAAACTATTTCCTGCTGTTTCCAGTTTTAATGCTAATCTAAGGTAACGGTCTCCTGCTCCACACCACTGACACAGGATATATACAGCGCTCATGGCGTCATCACTTCCCTCCACTATGCAAAAGTGAAGCCAAAATATCATAACTCTATATAGAAAATGTTCAGACTGTGATGGACATGTTTTGTTTTTTTTGTTTGTTTTGTTTTTTTCCCCCCAAAATTTTCATCAATAAAAGCAGATGGGTATAATGATCAGTATGCCCATCGGGAATGAGGAAGTCTGTATTTCCACCTGGGTTTATAATTACAGTGGGTACAGAAAGTATTCAGACCCCCTTAAATTTTTCACTCTTT